GTCTGGGGGTTCCAACCGCCACCCCGGCTATCACGTCAGCCAGCTCAGGCAGGGCTGTTGATACATAGCAGGGAGCCAGGTATATAATCAACAAGCCCACTTGAACCCCTTGCCCCCATTTCACAAGGAGGGACTCCACACCGTCTATCTGAGGCACAGTGGTCTCCCTTGGGCAAAGGCTCTCCCTCATAATGACCGCAGTGTTCCAATATCTCAGGGGTTGCCACAAAGAAGAGGGAGTCAAGCTGTTCTCCAAAGCACCTGAAGGTAGGACAAGAAGCAATGGATGGAAACTAATCAAGAGAGAAGCAACCTAGAACTAAGGAGAAACTTCCTGACAGTTAGAACAATTAACCAGTGGAACAACCTGCCTCCAGAAGCGGTGAATGCTCCAACACTGGGAGTTTTTAACAAGAGATTGGACAACCATTTGTCTTAAATGGTATAGGGTTTCCTGCCTAAGGAGGGGGATTGGACTAGAAGATCTCCAAGGTCCCTTCCAACTCTGTTATTCTGTTCTGTTCTGTTCTATTCTACTCTATTCTATTCATTAAAATGCTTCTGCATGAACCTGAAAATGTATTGCTGCATGATTTCTCCAAGTTTGTGTCCAACCTTAAAAAAAACTCTGTTGCTTTAATTAATCACAGAGAGATGCTATACTGGCACAAAGTTTAAAACATTTCTTTCAAATCATTTTTGAAGCACGATCAGCCCTGCTGAAGAGATCAATTACTGAATCAGTGCTACAGAAACAATATGTCTCACCTGAACTAGTAGCTCCAGCTTCCTATCATCCAGAAGCTGTACTTGGCAGTGTCTCCCTTCGGTCATCTGTAAAACAAATGGAAGAGCATTAACTGTAGAACGGTAATAGTTTCTCACTCCAAAAGTACATACCATATAAGTGCATTTGTATATTTATCTGTTGGTACACGCCCATTTACCAAGGTAGTCCTCCACTTACAATCACAATTGGGACCAGAATGTCAAGCACCTGGGAAATCAGGAGATTCAAACAGTTCAAATGAATATAAAGATTTATTGCAAGCTTAAGTTCTCTCTAAGGATCTGGCCAAATGACCGTTAGGGGAAATGTACAGCAGTTAAGAATAGAAAGGAATTCAAGGTGGGCTGGAGTAAGATCTCTTGTGGATGCAAGGGACTCATGACTTATGACGCATTTGACCCCTCCCTTGGGTTCAGCTGGTCATCTCCTACACAGAATTTCCATTGTTAAGCAAGGTGGGTTTTAAATAGATTGCACCTGATTTTATGGCCTTTTCCCCCATGGTTGTTAAGCAAATCACTGCAGTTGTTAATGGAATCACATGTTCGTTAAACAAATCTGCTTTTCCCCATTGACTAAAGCATATTGGAAGCTGACTGGAGAAGGGTGCAAATGGTGATCATGTGATACCAGGATGCTGCAACCATCGTAAATACATGACAATTGCCAGCCCATGAATTTTGATCCCGTGACTGTGGGGATAAGGAATGAGATGGTCATCAGTTTGAGATGGTCGTAAGTTTAAGGACAGGTGGTCACCTTTTTCAGTGCTGTTGCAACTTTGAACAGTTGTTAAATGAATGGTTGTAAGTCGACGACTACCTATACACACCCACACACCCACACTTATAACATCATAACAGTATCATTGATATGCTCTTTTCTTCATTTCTGATCTAATTCAGTTTTAGCTCATGGTTTTATAGTCCAGGTTCCAACTGAAAGAATTTCTCTCCTGGTTTGTGGTAATCTAAGTGGTTCAAATGATTTAATTATGAGATTTTTGTCTCATCTTTAAACTGCACCCCAATGGTTGCAAATGGGTGGATCTGTTCTCAATATAAAACCTTCCTTTCTCAACACTCCACCCCAATTCATAAACCACACTGGGAATGGAATGGAACGGAATAGAATAAGAATAGAATAGAATAGAATAGAATAGAATAGAATAGAATAGAATAGAATAGAATAGAATAGAATAGAATAGTTGGAATGGACCTGTAGGTCATCTAGTCCAACCTCCGGCTTAGGCAGGAAATCCTGTACCAGTGATGGCGAACCTTTTAGAGACCAAGGGCCCAAAAACCGCCCTGCCTGTTCCGCTGCCTGCCCGCTTCACCCCTGCTCCACCCTCTGCTCCACCCCGCCCACTCACAGGGCCATCCACCGCCTCCACGGCCCACCGCAGATCGCCCAGGTGGCCCTGTAGCGCCATGGCAGCCACACCCTCTACCCGTACCCAGTAGCAGCATCTGCGTGCATTGGGGTGCAAAGGTGGAGTCTTGTCCCTGCTGCCTGGCTGCCATGTTCTTGGCTGCGATGCTCCATGCGGGCTGTGCCCAGGGGCAACTCTCCACGGGGCTGCTGGTGAGGAGGGGGCCATGAGGGGAGGTGGGGCTGGGGTAATGGCACGCGTGCCCACAGAGAGGGCTCTGAGTACTGCCTCTGGTACGCGTGCCATAGGTTCGCCACCACTACCCTATACCATTTCAGACAAATGGTTGTCCAATCTCTTAAAAATTTCCAGTATTGGAGCATTTACAACTTCTGGAGGCAGGTTGTTCCACTGATTAATTATCTTGATTGCCATCCAAGGCATCGTCCTCCAGGCCCTTGTTCAAACTTCAGTTCCGAATACAATCTCCTCATGTTCTTAGGTACGAAAAAAGCATACCGGGTTTTAGCTTAGGATATAAATCAATGTGATTTATACCATTATGATTTCTAGCTTCATGAAATAAGTTATAAAATCAGTGTATTGATACTTTTTAATTTATCTAAAATGGACTGTGTTACGCACTAGGACAACTTTCCCCAGTCTGTCGTCTGCAAAGATTCTAGAATGAGATAATACTGCAGAGCTGTAAGGTAAGGAAATTCTAGAAGTATAATCCAGTTGGATCTGGAAGATGTCAGCTGAGGAATGAGTGAAATAGATAGAGCAGTGGTCCCCAACCTTTTGGGCACTGGGGACCGGTTCTGTGAAAAACATTTTTTCCACAGATTGGGGGGTCACGGTTTTATGCTCTATAGATCCCACACATATGCAGATGAAGCTTCGCTTGTTTGCACGGTCCGGTTCATAATGGTCCACAGATAGACACATGTCCATAGCCCTGGGTTTGGGGACCCCTGAATGACTAAATGTGGTTAATTCCCTCCATGGAAGAAAACCAAAAGGAGTATAATTTTTTTTCTGTCTTAAAAACTTTTTTACAAGTTCAAAATTGTGCACAATATAAAATGATGGAATTCAATTCACTATTAAGACAAATGGTCTGTACAAAGAAATTCCATATGGCAAATGCTACAGCAATAAAGATGACTTTACTGTAATATGATAATATGAGTGAAACACACAGCTTTAGCAGTGAAAGCCTGATTTTATGCTTGCAACCTCAGATATGTGATATAAAACCTTCAGGATATTTTTGCTCTTCTACCCAGGAGCAGCAGCTCTGATCTACCAAAGTTGCTGTTTTAGGCAGTATTTTTAGACCCCACAATGTCAAGTTATACTCCAGATGTATTTAGATGCTATATAAACAGGAAGCCTCAGGGGAAAAGAAACACAATTTAGGAAGTAAAAAAGCAAGAATAAACCTGTATATCTAAATACAGAATAGCATCGTAGCAAGGAAGCTTTAGAGAGTTTTCTTTTTAAAAAAATAACAATAATAGAATTCTGATTTATTCTCTGCTTGATTTTATTTTCTTAAGGCAAAACTTGTTTGAATTGGCACATTCTGTCACGCTCTCCTCTTTTATCATAACACTGTATTTTCATGTTCCCAAAGATGTTGTATTTTTAAATAAGCAAAAATGCCAAGACATATTTGGAAACAAATTACAGTAGGCACTCTCTGTGTGTGCATTTATTTCAAGGATATATAATTGTCCATTGCTTAGTTAGAATCAAATTACTCTTTTCACTCACTTTGATCACCTGTGCACAAACAAATTCTTTCCCTCCACTGTTTTCCTGTCAGTTTCCAGTGAACAACCCAAAAGTAAATCCAGAAATAAAAGTATACCAGAAGAACAGAAAATCTGTTTATCTTTATTTAAGGGGTCTTTAAAATCTTCAACATACCGGTACTCCTCAACTTACAAACATTCATTTAATGACTGTTTGAAGTTACAACGGCATTGGAAAAAGTGACTTATGACCAGGTTCCACACTTACGACCGTCAAAATCCAGGTACTTGGCAATCAGTTCGTATTTATGATGATTGCAGCATCCCCGGGTCATGTGATCACTTTTGGACAAGCTAAATCAATGAGGAAGCCAGATTCACTTAACAATCGTGTTACTAACTTAACTGCAGTGATTCACTTAACAGCTGTGTAAAATGGGGGGGGGAATCACTTAACTGTATTGCATAGCAACAGAAATTGTGGTCGTAAGTTGAGGTCGACCTGCGTGAGGACAATTTGAATTATGGAACAGGTTTACAGTAGAAGGAACAGGCATTCAGTATTACTGAAAAGATTTTAATATGGTAAAGCTAAAAAAAGAGAAAGAAATATATTACTGAAACTGGCAAATGAGATGTTTCATATTCAAACAGAAATCCCCCCAACAGATAAATCTTTCAGTTTATACGCTTTGGGACATGAGGGAGAGACTGGTAATTCACATAGCCCCAGGGGTATTTTGATGATCCTTGTCCTCCCCCAGCTATGATGAAACCCTGCTATTTGAGGTGAAGCGTATCAAAGTTAAAACGGCACATTAATTTTGAAAAGTAATGAAACTCCCAATATACCAGCTGCATTTCTGTGACGGATGCAGTTCCAAGCTATTTGCAGCTTTTGGACACTGAAAAACCACTGAGTTCTGCTCTTCGGCACCAAAAAGGTGCCTACATGATTCCTATAGCTGTAGTGGAGAATTCACTGCCCTCCATAGGTAATTGATTCACCAACCCTACTACCTCTGGACCTGTCCATGGACAAAATTTCAGGGTGCTCAGAATTGCAATTCCACAACATCTGGAGGCTATAGGTTTTTACACTTGTGGCTTACACGAAACCTGTTCTGATTCCTGTTATCTTCAGAGACAAAGCCAACTAGAAATATGAACTTGATTTTCTTTCTGGCTCCAAGCAAAAATGATTTCATTTTATTTTTTTCAGAATTTACAGTATCTCATTAATTTTATACTTGCTGTTTCTCTGTTTTAATGTCTGTTTCGTGCGTGCTGGAGTCATTTTGCATTTTAAAACACGCTATATCGTTTTAATATAAATTTAATTTTAAAATCTAAGCGTTTTATTGCGGGTTTCCTTGGAAACTTGTGTTTGAAGGGCCGTAACTATAAATAATTAGTGAAAAAATTTACTGTCTTGAATGGGAGTTTTCTCAAAAAAAATTTTAAAATCAGAATGCTGGAAAAGTTTGGTTCAGCTATATTTTATGAGTGTGCATTTAATTATTTCAACAACCGTTTCAAGACTGTTATGTGACAAAGTGCAGACAGCAATCTGAATGAGCTAATTCTATTGGCATTATTTCTGATTTAGCTCAAAGAGTTGATGGGTTAGAGGGCAGATGCATTACATACCAATTTTAAATTTTCAACAGTTCATAAGGAACTTAAAAAAAAGAAAGTCTTGTTTCCATTTTTAAAGACCCCAAAAGGAATTTGCCCATCCTCCAGCTATTTAATTAAAGCAGTTAAGCTTCTTGTGGAATGAATGGCTGTCTGATTTAAGAATGGTTTATCTCATATTAGCTTAATCCTGTTGCCAGACAAAAAAGAATATAAACCAGGTTAATTCACTCTTAACTGAAAAAGAGCATCTCTGGAGAGAGAAAAA